ACACGACTGCCACCTGCTCTTCTAGCAGGAGTCATGAGTCCAGGAGGACCCCCAGATTGCGCACAGGGTCTGCTTGGGGTAGTGCAACCCCATTCAGTACCAAAGATGGCCTAGCTCTAGCGCCAGAAGGCCCCAAAACCCACAGCCACTCAGTTTTGCCAGGGTTCAGTTGAAGCCTGTTGTTCCCCATCTAGATCCTCACAGCCTCCAGACACCGGGATAAGACATTCACAGTATCACTTAATTCGCCGGGGCAGAGATGTATAACTGGGGATCATCAGCATACTGACGATACCTCACCCCATGGAGACAGATGAGCTCGCCCAGCAGCCTCATGTAGATGTTAAATAGGAGGGGGGAGAGCACCGAACCCTGTGGGACCCCACATAACAGGCTGAGGGCGGGATCTCTCCTCCCCAACCACCATCGACGGGAATCGCCCCCAGAGGAAGGAGGTGAACCACCACAAGATAGTGCCACCCACCCCCAATCCTCTGAGCAGATCCAGAAGCATACCACGGTCGATGGTATCAAAAGCTGCTGAGAGGTCAAGCAGGACAAGAATGGATGCACAATCCCCATCCCGCCCGTGCCAGAGACCATCCAAAAGCGCAACTGATGCTGTTTCCATCCCATATCAGGCCTGAGTCCCAACTGAAAGGGATCCAGATAATCTGCTTCATCCAAGGTCCTATGTCGCTGTTGCCCAACCACCTTCTCAATCACCATCCCCAGAAAGGGGAGGTTAGATACTGGATGAAAATTGTCCAGTATAGTGGGATCTAGCGATGGCCTCTTGAGGAGGGGGTGAACCAAGGCCTCCTTCAGAGGTGAAGGAACAACCCCCTCGCTCAAAGATGCATTAACCATCGCTAGAACCCACTCACACAACACCCCCCAGGCTGCTTTCACAAGCCAGGAGGGGCATGGATATGTTTTTATGTTCCTTTGAGCAGGGCCTTCTTTTGGTTTTTTGCTTCAGTTTTTTTTTAATTTATTTATCAAATTTATATGGTTGGCTATCTCACATGAAATGAGTCTGGATGGCGTACAATAAAACTGGCAATGAAAACATTCTATAAAACCAGTTAAAAACAATGAACATAAATAAAGCAAGATCACAAGAGGGAAGATGTCACATATAATGCAGCCAGTGTACAGGCTCCCTATTACCAGGGCATCCCCGGGCTTGCTGAAAAAAACAAGTTTTGAGGGCTTTCTGGAAGATCACAAGGGTTGGGGCTAACCCCACCTTGGGAGGGATGATGTTCCAGAGGGTGGGTGCCATGGCAGAAAAGGCTTGTCTCCTAGGTCCTGTCAGATGGAACTCCCTCACAGACAGGACCCACAGCATGCCCTTCTTGCTGGACCTGATGGGACGGGTAGATGTAAACGGGAAGAGGCAGCCCCTCAGATAACCTGGCCCCATGGCATGTAAGGCTTTAAAGGTCAAAACCAGCACCTTGAATTGGACCCAAAAGCAAACTGGTAACCAGTGCAGCTCACAGAGCAGAGGTGTAACGTGTCTCCTTCTAGGGGCACACATAACTGCCCGTGCCACTGCATTTTACACCAGCTAAAGCTTCTGGATACTCTTCAAGGGCAGCCCCATATACAGCATATTACAATAATCCATTCAGGATGTGACCAGGGCACAGGGTAACTGTGAGCAGAGTCTCACGATCCAGGAATGGGCGCAACTGGTGCACAATACAAAGGTGTGCAAAGACCCTCCTGGCCATGACTGCCACCTGCTCCTTGAGCAGGAGTCATGAGTCCAGAAAGACCTCCAGATTGTGCACCAGGTCTGTTTGGGGCAGTGCCACCCCATCCAGTACCAAAGATGGTTAAGTCCCAGATTCAGAAGGCCCTGAAACCCAAAGCTGTTCAGTCTTGCCAGGATTCAGTGGAAGCCTGTTTTTCTGCATCCAGGCCCCCACAGCTTCCAGGCGCTGGGACAGTACATCCTGTCTTTGGTTTTGGTTTCCGGGTTCCAGGCTTTGAGGGATCTGATCCCACAACTCTGAAATCAGCTCTGTTTGTTGCTGTGGAAATTTGATGACCTTTAAAAGAAGTTTACATACCTTTTTACTTAATCGTGGGGTTGATTGTCCCACTCTACCTGTATTTAGCTGGCATTTCCAGATTAACAACTGTTTTAAATTATATACACTCAATTCTATTTCAGGGTACTGTTTTAAATGTATCACTGTTGCTTGGTAGCTTTCATGTTAAAATAGGTTACTGGGATCCGACTGGATTAATTTATGATATTGTGCGGTTGGGTTTTTTTATTTGTTCTGTTTTATACCACCCTGCAACTTTCCAATGCTGGGAAGAAATTAGGTCCCTAAATCAAAAATAAATGGGTGCTCTCTGTTTCACATAACAGATTAGGTCGGTCCATTGGTCTCCTTAGCCACCGTCTTCTCCACTGACAGTACTTTTACATATCAGACAGGCAAAGGCCCTTTGTTACTTGCTAAGTAATCTTTATCTGGAGATGCAGAAGTATCTTTAGTATCTTCCTTTAAAGTTTATGTTACTGGGTCTGAGTACCTCACACACAGAAAAATACTTCGGTAAGGCCTCAGGCCTTGGCGTGTAACTAGCTGCTTGTTTCTTAGAGGACAAGCTGACTGAAGCAACAGCTAGTCTGGCCATGCTCTCATCACCATGTTAGGTGGATGTCACATCCCCTCCAGACTGCAGGGCAGCAAACAAAACAGCCGAGACTCACCACGTTCCCAGGCTTTTCCACAAGGCCCAGGTTTTGACCCAAAGGCTCAGCCTCCGCTTGGATCACATTCCCACCAGTCCAAGTTTCTAGCCCTGCCCAGGACAGAGGTGGGGAGAAGTCAGGAAGGCTCTTCTCCTTTTCTTCCTCCCTTTCTGTGTCACTCCCTAGCTCTGATGCATCCAGGCTGAACCTGATGGGGAATAAAATTGGATCACAGCAAAAGAAACATTTCAAGGACACAAGTCTTAACTCTACCAGACATAAAACGCTTTTCTTTTCTTTTCTTTTCTTTTCTTTTCTTTTCTTTTCTTTTCTTTTCTTTTCTTTTCTTTTCTTTTCTTTTCTTTTCTTTTCTTTTCTTGTACTGTTGCTTTAAAATGCAGAATTGAGTATTCCAGGAACCCCATTTAAAACAAGTAGGGAAAAGAGATTCTATGTTGCTGTGTTTTGATTAAGTGCAATTTGTTTTGTTTCTTTTTCTGCTGCATTTCTTTGATTATTATAATGAATATTATTATTGTAATGATAGCCTGAACAACTTTGAAAAGTCATTAATTACAAAAAGGGAAAAGAAGAACATTTTTTAGTCCTCATGGATACTGCCTGAGAATCCTGGTGGGTGGAAAGTTAAGCTCAGCAGCCACATTATGGATTAAGGTACAGAAAGCCAATCTTTAGTTTATTATATTTTTGTTTACATATCATTTCACTCTTGACCTTTAATGCATTTGCTCACCCAGTATGGCTTAACACACCTATTAATGTATTCATCCTTAGCTGCTCCTTTCTGTTTGCAAATAAAGCTCTTAAAGTTTGAAGCAAAATTATTGCATGCACATGTATGTAACTATAAACTTCTTCTTTTGCATTGCTTAAGTTGAGTAAAGATGCCAAGTTCCCTGCCTACACTTTTTTGCACTGCCTTTATAGCAATTCACAAGAGTAACTAGGGAGCTGTTGGGACACCAACTGAGAATGGATGTTTTGAACATGTTCTTCTTACAAGTAGTATAAGATCATGGTTATTTATATTTTTTTCTTAAAGAGCATCTTTTGAGAGTGGATGGAGGAGTTCAAGAGAAAGGGAGTCCCAAAACACAAGCTTCTCTTAAAAATCAGTCTCAGCATTAATGGGACAAAGTAACTCTCAGGGTAACAAAACGGTGTGTTGTTTCTGCTAGTCCAGAAGCGCAGAAGCGATCTCTGCTGATGCATTGTGAAGTTTAGTGGGGAGGAACAACTCCCAAACTTGATTAGCCATTTTTTCCTGTCTTCTCTACCTGGCACAAAGTCTGCATAGCTACAGGAGAAGCCCAGTGCCTGTTCAGTTATGACAGAAAGCTTTGCCAAGATCCCAAGAGGAGATAATTCCCTAGGCACCTTATAAGGAGGAGAGAGTTAAAAATAGCCCCCCTTCTGGCTATGCTGTAAAATCAATATTGCTTGTTCAGAGTTGGCAGTGACATAGGGAGACATCTACCTCACGAGATCTTTACAGCTGCGTCCTTAAAAAGGAATGCCCAGCGTTAGCTGCACACCCCATCCAATAAATATTATTCTCATTCATCACCTGACAGCTTTCCTCTTTATAGCAGTGACAGCAATTCTGAATTTTAAGACGGCCCCTTTTCCTTTTGAAAGCCATATGCCAAATATCTGTCCCTCTAGTTAGAGGCGGTTTAGCTGATATTAGCAAGAATATTTAGAAAAACAAAATCAAGTTTTGTAAAACCTGAACTGGTAACAGTAAAGCTGAACTGGTAACAATAAAGCCATACGCTTTACAAATTAACTTTATAGGATAGGTAAATCAAAGGGAAGTCTTTCAAAATATGAGTTCTTAGGTTAAAGGGAGAACTGTCTGCAAATTCTGCATGTTTATTAATGTAAGCTCTGCAAACCTGCTAGGTTCATTTCCTCTCTAACAAATTATAGCATCTTCATAGCATCAGCCAGCCATTGTTGAAGCAATATAAAGCCTGTCCACATTACTGTTATTTTGGCACACCAATAGTTGGATAACTTTAGAAGATGCTATAAATCTCTCATGCAGAAATTAACTTGGATTATAATTGCAAGAACACATTTGTATCCTTCGTTACATTTTATTCTTTATATATACTAGGATTAAATTAACACAAGGGATGGAGCGACTGGCACAATATCACCCAATGAGCTACATGACTAAGGGAGTTTTAAACCCAGGTCTCCGTGGTTCTCGTATCCAGTACCAGTGATGGCCAGTTATTCACTCCAAACGGTCAGAAAACCAGATTCAGATCTCTGCTCAGCAATGAAGTATGAGTGATATAAGGCGATATCGTTCAAGCAATATAATATACATCACACTTGGCATAACCCAGCAGCTCCCAGCATGATGAACTTGATCATAAACAATAAATTTGGAAAGCACCAAGTTGCAGAAACCTGCCACCTACTAAAATGGACAAGGTCTTGTAGTGATTTAAGAACAAACAGACTATGGGTTCCACAAGATCTTTTTTGGGATTTGTTGTAATATATATAAAGGGAGTCCAAGGTACTAGGAACCTGAAAGAGAATAATTGGTGTGTATGTGTTAAAGAAACACAAAGGGGTGGTGTTTATATGTCTAAATGCTCATTACTATGTGCATGTGATCAAGTGCAAGTGCCCTTGGCCCTTGGCCTAGCAACCTGTATAGTACTTTTTGGAAGTAATCATGGAAATAAGATAATTTCAGAAAATGTCTTGCTTTATCATTCTATGCCCTCAAAAGGATATTTAGAATATGAAAGCCCTTATTCCAATCTGAAAAAGAGATTGGAAATATGACTGGCAGGGGTACTTTTTCTTTTTAACTGAAAGTACATATTTTCCTATAATCCATGGATCCTACACTGGCTACTTAAAACTCTATTTTGCCTGAGAAGTACAGCATCTTAGTAGCAGCTCAGAAGAAAAATACACAGCTTCCCTTATCAAAGACACTCCAGAAAATCCTGTACAATAGGGCGGAGCTGAGGCATCAGTATGAAAATCTTCTGAACATGAGTAAAACATATTCCTCATACCTAAATAACTGCCTGAATTGCAGCCAAGGTAGTATTTGTGGCTGTTACCTCTTCAAAGTACTTCATACACATTCTTTTAATTCTTAATAGTAGCTTAAGTTAGGTAACTGTCATCTCATTACTGCCTATGGAAAAGCCGAGAGAAGTCCAAAGAAGAGACAAAATTGAAAGGGTGGAAGGTTGAGCTTTACTCAAGCTCCTCCAACATCAATCTTTCCAACCTCCTCATTCCCAAGACAGACTCACCTACGATGGGCATCTGTTGGAGACTGAGGAGTTTCCCAGCTGTGCCGCCGTGAGGTAGACATAGACCTGGTCAAAACTGGAAAGGCTTCCTCACCATGCAGTGGCTGTGCCTGTTCTTTGACAAAGCTCCCCTGCTTCCCAGAACTGCACGAACAAGCACAGACCTCATCCAGGTAGTGATTTGCCATCTCAAAACTGGGAGCTGTATCCGGACGCCGATTACAGGCAAGTATCTGCTCACAACCCTTGGGGTTTTTTGCTGGTGAGCAAA